CGAAAGGGTTTCGTCATTCGTCAGGCATCATTAGACCACACAGTGTATTACTTAAAATGCCTTTTCGCAAATGCCAAATCTGATTTTATTATTATCAAGATCGCTATATTTAAATACAAGATAATCACCGAATATATATTTATCCAGATTACACACATTATGCAATTCTACAATTAGACTTTAAATTAATTTTATGCAAATCCATATTACACTACTTATGCAAATCCCAATCCAAATCGAACCCGGTGCCACGAATTCCTGAGGTACCAAAATGTACTGTGACGCAAGCTAGACCCCCAGAACTTCGTTCCTGAAGTTTCAACCCTTGCAAAACCAAACTACTAACACAAAATATTCTATTTGCGATACAACTACCAAATCTAAACTATCTAAATACACATACACAAACACTAAAAAAATTTTTTTTTTTTCTTATTATTATGTCTATTATTACAAACGCTCTTGAGATTGCAATGTTCGTATATCTATTCTTCCAAGTTTACGTACATCAAGATGGCTTCCAAATACCGCATTTTCCAGCCTATTGCACCCAACAGTATGATCCAAATATAGCCACTTGAGAAAGTCAATCTTTTTACTGCCACACGGTACAACCTGATTCCAATTCACCTTTCGGCCCATAATTGCAGTAACACCCAACATTTTGATCATCTAGCAGTTTATTCCACATGCTCTGGCTAAATCTTTTCTTCGATTGTTCATCAACATCATACCATCCAATGTTCGCTTTGTGTTAAACCATTCTCAGATCATTTCATCAGAATTCAAATTCTACTCAAATGTTCTTTTTTTATCTTTAGTTACACCCACATCTTCGTCCTGGCCAGATTCAAGATTATTTCTTCCATTCGATTCTCTATCTTTAGCAGAAATCAGACACTGTTTGAATATCTCATTTTTGTCTTTTTCAACGTTAGTTCTATATTTATAGCAATCGCTAGCAATGCTTATTCCATCAGCGAATCCCACCTCACAAGGTGTCTCAATCATATCAGCAGGATTTTGATGATAGTCGAACATCTTATGTTCATCCTTATCAATTCCAATTCCAATTCCATATAGATAACACAGTCTGAAATCATCTTGTGCCTTTGGATCAACTTCAGCAAATTTTTGATAACAGGTATGTGGCTTGATTTCATTCCTTTTACCTCCACTTTCATTTTGATGGCAATGGCCATCATTTCCATCATTGTTTTCCACATCTTCAGATTTTTAATAATGAATGAATGTTTTGGGTTCATCTTTTTCATTTCTTTTCTACTTTCATAACAACAATCACTTATGTATGTTCTAGAAGAATTAGAAATATTTCATTATTTTTTTTTTTGTTTTGTTTAAATTTTTTAGTTCACAAACATTACTCAATATTGCTGATTTCTGATAATAACCGAATGCTTCATTTTTATCCTTTTAAACTTCGATTCTATTTCCACAGCAATATTCCTTCAAATCACCACCTTTCTTGTAGCATAATCTGATATCAAGTCTCCCATTAGGACTCCCACTTTTAATTGATTTTAGATACCCTTAGAATGCTTGTTTTTCATTGTTGAAAACTTCTAAACCATCTCGATAATAATTTTCAACTTCAAATTGTCCTTTAGAATCCCACATTTTGCAGATTTTAAAAACTATTCAAATGCTTTCTTTTCATCTTTACTAGAGTTCTCAGTAGCACCACAAACCTTACCAGAGTACTTAAGGGCTTCATATTCAACTGGTTTGTTTTTCTCACTAATATTTATCCAACTTTCGGTATTTACAGGAACACTTTCAGACTTAGTTTCTATCAACAAATCTAGTAGACTCTTCATCATCATATTCATCCTCGAGATTAAGTCCAACAGTATATCTATTATTACCCTTGCTCCATCTTGATAATGTTGTCCAGGCTCAACCAAACCATCATCACCAACTATTTCAGTGAATCTGCCTCTATCGAGCTCAACACGCTTTCTATTTCGGTTACTATAACCAATATTATACGTTCCTTCACCATCGGTGAACTGATTGTTGATGAAATGAATGGAACCTCTATAATACTATTTTCTTGGTTTTTATTTTATACAAATTTTTTACTTAGAAAACAAAACATGTTTGTTTTAACACCTGATCTTAAATTTGATTACTCAAAATAATAGGATGAACAATTTTTTTGTGAGAAAGCTATCTAAAAAGTAATATATACAAATGCACCCAAGTTTCTCATCATGTTATAAACTAAAAAGAAAGTTTCTTACTGCATACAAGTTCACATGTAAATCTGGGTTTTTTTGAAAAATTATTTAAAATAACTCAAAGTTTTGTCTAAATAACTACCTCTTATATTCTAACAAAAAAAAACTTTGCAAAAAATTTTTTTTTTCAAAAGAGCAAAGTTGTCACTATGTAGCAAAGACCCTAGATCTGACTAGTTTATTGCAAACTAATTATACATACATATAACTAATCTACAATCTGGCTCACTCATCACCATGACTCCTCACAACAAAGTTGGCAAGTTCTAATAAAAAACTCACCTCTTTGACTCAATAGAAGACTGGGGTTCTTAGCCACTAGTCTGGTATAAACCTACTATATCACTAACCAGTATATATTATCTAGAGTCTAATC